AATTTTAGATATTTATTGACAATACACTCTCCGAGCATCCTGTTACAAGGGACATATAAATATTTGAGTATGAGCCTTGTGACAGTTTGTCTTTATCACTTTGGCTAGCCATGGTACTCAGTTGATCTTAGCTTGACCTGTAGCTATTTTGCAGATGTTAACATCTCTAGCCAGTTGACTTTAAGAGAAAAAGATTACCCTTGATAACATGTTCAAGCCCCATCCAGTCAGTTGAAAGCCTTAATGGCAAAGATGAGGTTTTCCTGAAGAATAAAAATCCTTCCACAATGTGCTACAGGGTTAGCATATGCCAATTGACCTATGGGTGAGTATCTGCAGTCATACAGTACTGAAACAATTCTATATACTATCTATCTATCTATCTATCTATCTATCTATCTATCTATCTAATTCCATTTCTCTGGAGAGTTCTGATTGACATAGTCCTCAATGACCTCAGAATGTAGGAAGGAATTTAATAAAAGTAAAATAACTTTTAAATAATTTTCCACTTAAAATTCTGTTATGAAATCATAGTAAAATATAGATTACTAAGAAATGGCAGAATTACTCTTGGGGAGGAGAGTAAGATTGTACTTAAGTAAGGGGGTTCAATTGGTAGTGGACAGAAATGCTGTGAGACCACGTGGAAACAGCCTTTGTAGGTGGTTACAATGGAGTGCACCTATAGCCACAGAGCTCAAGAGACTGGGCAGTAGAATCCTTTGATACCAGATATTTGAGGGCAAGTTACGCAGCCCAGCAAATCCCTGTCTCAGGCTTCCTATAAGGATACACATTCCATCCTTGAGGATAGAACCCTGCTGACATGATCACTTCCTCAAAGCCTCACTATTGTATCATCTTGGATGTTAGAATTTGGATTTGAGGACAGCACAGATGTTCAAACCAGAGCAGTCACCAAAATGAGTTCTACTCTGGTACTCTGAATTTCTTGGTACAGCCATTTATAAAGATGGAGTCTTGCTTTACTTACTCTGCCTCAATCACCCTGCCTGTCAAAGGTGATGGTAACTTTCCAGTGTTTGGATAGACATAAAATGATGCACACTTGTTGAATGCTGGACAAAGTGCTTAGCTTCTACTTGGTATTCATACGGGGTGTTTGTTAATGACAGAACTGTTAACATTTTTTCCTAATACATGATGAGTAAGCCCCAGCAATAAATGATGTTTTTACTTGAGGAATCACCCTTATATAGACCTACCAGACATTATCATATGTATTCTTCCAAATGCTCCTTGCTCTAGAGCTGAGATTATGTGAAGGTATATAGATATAAGCGGATGAAACTCAATATCTCAGGAATACATCATTATAGTTGAAAGCTCATCTCTCTTTTTTTCAATCTAAAATGTGACTCACTTATGGGAGTGTTAAGATGAAACATGGTAGGGCTGGTGATATGGCTCAGCAGTAAAGAGCACTTGTGACCTGGGTTTGGTTTGCATCTTCTGCCAAGTAAAGACAAAGCAACGGGGACCCCCTACGAGGCAGAGAGCTGACCTTCACTAGACATTGAGCCTATCAGCACCTTATCATCATACTTCCCAGCCTTTACCACTATGTACAACAAACTTGCAATGTCTATAAAGGACCCAGCCAAGTATTTGATAGCAGCCTAAACAGTGTTATAAAGTACACTGTCTCCACAAATGATTCTATAAAACCCTATAGGAAAGTGAACATTGGAAATAAAGGCATACCCTTTACTCAGAAATAAATATAACCTTCACATTTTCAAATGGGGTCAATAGCCCTATGGGGTTGTCCATTGAGTGAGAATTTTGTCTGCCTATTGGAAACGGTAAAGGAAGTGAGTAGGAAACTTTAAGTACCTAAGAAAAGGGTGTTCTAGTCCCAAGTCTGTTGTTAATAGTGTTTGCAAGTGTTAGTTGAAGGGACTTTTTAAATTCTCATAGTTTTTTTCTCAAAAGGGTAGCCCTCGTGATAATTCCTGTTCTTTTATGTGAGTTTGGTTATAGCCATACCTCTGAACACAGGCAAACACTGGTACACATCGTCCAAGGATAACTATCTGTGTCACTCTCTGTGACCTATTAGGTTTAAGTCAACAGAATGAATGTTTGCATGAGTGAAAAATGGTTGACTATCAGCCAATTTATATTGGACAACTATGTCTAGAAAAAAGAGAAGCAATCTGAATCAAGAAAGAAAACAACTCCAAGTATGGAGAGAGAATTTAAAACACTACGCCTTTAGGAGAGACCTTTAGGCAAGACAGAATTAACTACTCACTTGTCAGGATTTGGAATAAAATAAGTTTGATGTTTCATCACTTGGAAATTAACCATTAAAATAGAGCACCTTATTTCCATTCAGACGTTTTAACATTTGGTTTGCAGCACCTACATGGGGAATTACAGCCATCGAGTTCCTGGCATCTAATGTTATCTTCTAGCCTCTGTAGCCACCATATGCACATACATATACATAGGTAAAACATTCATACACATAACATAAAATAAATCTATAAGAAATATAAAAGATGGGGAGACGGTGTTGTGATTATAGCCAGAAGTACAGACTGGAAAATAAATTATGGTATTTGTGCCTATTTCTTAAAAAAATTCATTCCCCTTCCTTAATGTGGAAATGACTGGTGTCCCTGTTTTGTTTTTGTTTTGTTTTGTTTTTAGCAAAGTTATACATAAAACTTCACTTTTATAAAATGAATATCCATTCATGGCAGCTGTGATGGAAGTAGCTGAGGTTATAAAGATGAATTAGACAACATTCTGGTCTTTGAGACATTTCTGTTTTAGTGGAGTGAGAGATTATATGGTGAAGGGATAGCAAGAAAGTGAAAGAGCAGAGATGACCCATGTTTTGCTTAGCTGGTATGTGCTACCTTCTAACTGGGGCAGTTCTCTTCAACTCCAAATTCATTTGTTCCCTTACTGTGAGAAAGGAGTACAGAGTCTTTATATCATAGGGATTACGATAGAGTACTATAAATCTTGGTATTTATTTATTTATTTACTTATTTTTTACTTTTGAGTGCTGATTATTAAGCATCTACCTGCACACAACTGGATGTACCTAAACTGATTTAAGAACATAGAAGGAGGCAAGAGATTAATTAATTTTCTTTGGGGCTTTCGGGGAAACAGCAAAAGAATACTGATATTTGTGGCTGTAGAGTGGTGGGATAATGGGTTAAAAGAGGAGAAACCTGAAAGAACTTTTGAAAGGGCACAGTCCTTGAGAGAGGAAATCTTAGCTTACACTTACCTTTAAAGTGATGCCAACACACAATTGGTGAAGCTCCTCTGGAATCAGTAGTTGTGTGGTGTGGCAGGGGTCTAACTCCAGTGATGTGTAGTAGCAGCAGCAGCCCTGGGTTACTTGTTATATCCTGGGCTCAGATATACCTCGGGTCATGGCAGATACTGGCTTTCTTAATGTGAATCAGAGCTCATTTGGAGTGGGAAACATGTGGCTCCCCAATGTTCTTGGCACACCTACCTAATCAGATTCTCTGGGATCAGGGGCCTGATGATTCACATGTTTAACAATTTCCCCTGAGAGTCCCCAACACTTAACCTGAGAATTGGTTTATACCAAACACTGGCTTTATGCCCTAGGGGACATTATTGATATTGTTGATCAGATATTGGCTTCTAGTGGATAGAGGCCAAGAGGTTATTAAATATTTGACAATGCACTGACCAGCTCCATGGTGGGGTAATTATTTGTCTGCATATGCCGGTGGTTTCATAGTTTACAAGTCTTGATCTACCTGCTGTGTCTAACCCAACCCATGAATGTGTTGTAACGCAAAGTTACAAACATATTTAAGACGTTAAGAGGTTTTTATTTTCTTCGTTTTTGGTAACTTGGTGGTGTGGCATCACCATTTCAAAAGGGTAAGCAAGCTTGGGCTTAGGCCATCTCAGAGAACCCCAGCAAAGCCCACACATATTGAAACACACCTCCAGCAGTCCTGAAGCCACTAAGTCATTATTTGCTATACTTTTCTTCTCTAATAATGCAAAACTGAAAATATTTGTTGGATAATCCTCACACTGTGGCCACTTGTTTGGAAAATATATATTACTGGCTCTACAAAAGGCAGTTTTTACTCAGTTTACATTTGTCTTTAAATACAAGAGCCCGATTTGCATAGGAACCATATTTACAGGGACTTGCAAAGGGTTACATTTTTATGGGGAGTTCAGAAAGAAAACTGGAAATTTTCTTTAACTTGGGTTTGAACTTTCCAAGTAGCCATCTAGTTCTGCCTTTCTACTCTGTGTCTGTGAGCTTAGCAGGTCAGCATTGTTAAGTCAACCACCACGAGAGGCAGACACACTTATTTTACAAATAGTTTTCTTAACCAAGTGTCTGTGTTTATTGCTCTTATGGGCATATATTTATCTGATATTGTGCATTCAGTCGCCAGTGCTGAAGATTCTTCTTCACTTGCTGGACTTCAAAATATTTGTGTGCACAGTCCCATTAAGATTTCCTTTTCATAGGTTGGACATAGAGTTTCCATGGAGATGAGAGGGAAACACCTTGCTTCCTGATTGCTTGTTTCCGTTAAAGTGGTACTCACAGCAGTGTGGTTTACCCTCCACTGCTTTTGCCAAAATTAGGTATCTAGAGCAAGATACACTTTTAAAAAAATGTCCTTGGGTCCTGAGGGCTGAGGTTTACTCGCTGAAATAACTCTTCACCTTTCAAATGCTTTAATGCTTTTAAGGGGATCTTAAAGTGCAAGGATTTAGGGCCCGGAGCTAGTTAATCTTTGAGCAGATGCAGTTCAGTTAGACAAGAATAGAACTCATCCTTTACTTTGGAAGCGAGGACTCTACATCCAGCTGCTTCCAGTCATTTGACTCCTGAAAGCTGCCCTAATCCTAGTGGAGGCAGCCTCTCCTGCTCCCAGGTCCACCCCCTACTCCTGATTGGCGAGACACTCCGCGACCGGAGCCCGCCGCCTACGACGTCCCTGTGAACTGATTTGAAATAAGAGCCAGGCGGTCCTCGCTAGCCTGCACCCGACTTTTCATAGGCTGGAAAAGGAAAGGTTGAGAAACTTGACATTGTCTTGGGTAGAGTGAGTTTAGAAGCAGATCAAAGAATAAAAAGGGAGGGGGACGAAAAACGTGCTCTTTGCTGCCTGTGGATTCCACCGAGTTGCTTTTGTCTTGTGGGCTTTTCTGCCGGCTTTGGTGTCTGCGCTTGGAAGCCTACGGGTGCGCTTCCACGCAGCTCGCTCCCTGCCGGATGGGTCATGGAATTCTAAACATGAGGCAGGTAAGCTTCAGGGTTGTGGTTGTAGCTGCGCTGGCTCCAGCCATGGGGGGAGGTATTTAGCTTCGGACCCTTGCGACCTGTTACTCCCGGTTGCTTGTGGAGTGATCAAATGCCTGGTTTCTAGCAGATCCTTTAGGTGGAAAGAGGAGAGTGCATTTTCTTTTTAAGGCTACCTTAGAAAGCATATCACCTGCCGTCTCCCCACTGCCCTGTCCTTACTACCCATGCCAGGTTTTGCCTCTAAGAGTGGGTGCTGATGTCAGGCAGTCTTTGTAGAAGATTCAAAGCGATTTGTAGAATATGCAAATCAATTCCAGTTTGCCGGCCTCTGGAATGTATTGTGCTGGATTCATCTCAAGCTTTTAGCCTCTACCCTATTATGCTTTAGGTTAGAATAAAGACAACTGCATCGCCTGACAAAGAATTACACGGGGACCTTCATCTTATTTTGCTTTCACATTGTGAGCACTTCAGTGTGTGTATGCAGCCGAGAAGGCGAAACCAGTCGGAATGGAACAATCGGGGGTGGGGTGGGAGGGGGTGTAGACAGACTTTTTAAAAAAAATGTTCTAAGCACTTTAGAAGTTGTGTTGCTCCTGGATGGGAGAACAGGGTCTTGGAAGTAATGAACAGAGAAAGAGTTTGGGCGTTACTTAAGTATTTCTCTGTAAAGAATTCTAAGCCAGAAGCTTCTTCCGTCCCTCTAGGGCATGGGGATAAAATTCCTTATCAACCTAGGTAGAGGTTTATGAGCTTTATAGTTTTGTCGTTGAGAAAGAAAAGGAAAGACTGGATTAGAAAGCCTAGAAGAGGGTGTAATTTACAACTCTATCACAGCTGTAGTAAAAATCTTACATAAATATTTCAACACAAAGATCGATGCTCATAGGGGAGGACAAGACTAGAAAAGTCTTCCATTGACTGGGAAAGGCAGAAGTTGCAAGAGAGGAATGCTACTTTTGCCAGAGCTGAGTAACTCCGGGTGGGAAAGTGAGCATCTGTTTGCCACCGGAAAAGCTCTTCCCTTTTTTTTTCTTCCAATTGGGCAATTGGGTTGAATATGCTCCACCACAGAATGCTGGCTTTAGGGGAAAGTGAACCTTCTCCATTAGTGACTGGGCCAAGGGGTTTACAACTTTCTGTCTCCCTGCTCTAGTTTCCGGAGGTAAAGCACAGTCCCCACCAGAATGGTCAGGAGCAAAGATCCTCAACTTTCTTGTTCCTTAACTTGCTCTTATGGGAGCATTCTTGGCAAATTCCAGGGAGTGCAGAAAAGCACACGAAAGACTGTGTGCTTTCAGTAAATTGCCTCTGCCTAACTGGAGACTAGTGCAGAGGCTGGATTTCTCTAAGTTTTGCAGTCTTAGAGACCAATCTCATTCTTTGAATTGCTAGCAACCACATAGGCTGGGCAAAGGGACCAGGAAGGCTTACTGGAAAGGAGTAAGACAGAGAGTAGGCACACAATATTTTTGACAAAGACCCTAAGCCCAAACAAAGAAGTTATTTGATGCTGCCTGGAGCCACCTGTCTTGTCTCCGGTGGTGTGTGAACTCAATTTTTAGAATCTTTGTGCCCACACAGTTCCTCTGGAATGGTGACACTCCCTGTGTCTGATGCCTAAGGCAGGCTGTCCAGAGCTCGGGATGATTTTTCCCATGTGTAACTGTGGCATTTGTGTGAAGTTGGAAAACAGCCCAGTATTGAAGCTTTACATGCACAAGTAGGCATGTAGTAACTCCTTAGTTATTTAGTGAATGGACAGCTTTCCATCCCACATCTCTGGATATGACTATAACATTTTTCTTTTGCCTGTTGGGTACTTGAAAAGCGGGTGGGACTGGAGGAGGAGGAGATGCAAGAGGGGTAGAGGATCATTGTTCATACAAGAAACCAGGCATGGGTTGGTAGTGTTACTCCATGGGTGAATCCCAACTTTGTTCTTGTTTCTCTTGCGGAGGGGAACCTTACTGCTTCATTCAGGCAGAGGAGTCACATCCAACAACCAATTTGTCATCTTAGCCCAGCAGCTCCTGGCTGTATTTGCAGGGTTAACTATCAAACCAATCCATGTGTCATCAGCTCAGCAGTGAAACTCAATCTTTTTGCTGGTAAGTGATCTGTCCCTAGGGCTGCACAAATGCAGAACAGTGGTGTGGCAGCCCAGAAGAGATCCTTAGCACTAACTAGTCAGAAATTCTGGATAGCCAGAAATGGCTAACCGAATAAGAAGACTGCATGTTCAGCTGTAAGATTCAGGAGGGTTTGGGCTTTTGCCAGGTTGTCAGCAGAAGAACCTTGTAGGATAGAATTCTTTTAGGGAAAGTCCATATTAAATGAGTCCAAAAAAAAAGCATAAACCTGACTTGTGTTGTCAGGAAGTAATTTTAAACTGTGTGCCAACCTCTCTTTACACTTTGATCATAAATGGAAAACTTTTCGAAACCTTCTTTGAGAAGGAATTTGCTCTGTTCCCAGGCAAAAGGAAAGACATGGCCACCTGTTATAGAAGCCCAGCCAAAAACAACAGGTTTGCTTATGGCATTCCCACAACTGCAAATAACCTCTCCAAATAGCAAGTCACATTCATTGCCCCCCTCCACAGACTAAGAATAAATATTTCACTCTCAAGTTGGAAAAATATAGATTCTCCAGACAAAATTCCCCACGAGACATATTTTGTGTTTTAGCATCCTAATGATTTTAGAAAAGTACTCTAAAATACTGCCATGACTTTCCTTTTAGTCTCTAGGTCTTCCAGCTGCTAATTTTTGTGAAGCTAGGATGCTGCTGATCCAAGGAAGCTGTGACTCAGTTTGATTAGACCATTTTACTTTCTTTAGGTTGGAATTAAAATGCCCAAGGACATCTGGCTTAATAATGAAAGTCTTGGTGGTAATCTTTCCTCAGAGGATTAGAAAGTCCTTTACAAACATGATCTATTTATTCTCAACCACATCCCCAGGAGACAATGAAGGGCAACTTGATCCTCATTGAACAAATGGTGAAGTGAAGGCAAAGAAAGGTTAAATCTAAAGATGACAGCAAGTGAGAGGCAAGTCTGGAATTCACCCACCCATAAAGACTACCTGTGTAGGCTGAGGCCCCCAAAGGGCATTCTAGGCTTGAAAACAGAGCCTCTCTTTCAGTTTTCTTTTTCTTCTTGTTCTATTACCAGTACACTGCCTCAAGTATGAAGTATACTTTCCTTTTTTTGAAAGCAAAGCCTTGAAAAGTACAGAAAACATAGCTGTTCTCATTTGTCCCAACATGGAGATGAGACTGTTTTTATGACATCTAATGGAAGATGCCATAAATGGAATTTAAAATATGTATCTGAGCAATGTTCCTTTTTAGCAGATGTTTTAAGTTTTTGCATATGCTTTAGAGACTTTGACATCTTCAACAGATGTTAAAATTTTAATTTTTTTCTACTACCTCTCTTTCAGGAAATGTTATCATTGTAGGATTTGTCAGCTTAAAGATATTTGTTGGTCATTTCAAAGTGATTTTTTGAGTTGTTTGAGTTGGTTTTTCCTTCGTGTTCACTCTGACTCATGCTCTGAGTTTGTCTGCCTGTGGACCGCATGGGCTTCAAACAAATCAGTTAATTGGTAGTTGCATGTTATCCACAGACATTCCTGCAAGTTTTAAGGCTAACTATGCATGTGGATGTCTCCTGGCTTTGATCCCTTGTGTGGTAAATAGACATCCGAGGTAGCTATGGAAACCTGGGCCTTGCATTGCTGAGGGGGTTGGGGGAAGACATCTCATCAGAGAGTAATTTATTTGATTAAGACGAGACAGGGCCAAATCAGGATGTTTTCAATACACATGATTTGAGTATCCCAGTTCATCTGAATTAGCTGGCGTTCTCTTGATAAGAAGAAAAAAATTAATGATTGACCACATCAGAATATGTTGTAAATGCAATTTAAATTGTTCTAAATCAACTTTTTGCTGTGTTCCCAACATAAACAATGTCGTCAGTATCCCTGTTGTAGTTTGTAGGAGTATTGTCATTTTCAGAACTCCAAAACAAAACAAACAAACAAAAAACTCAACCAAACAAAACCCACCAAGATCTGGAGAGAGGTGTATATTTCACTTATTTTCCTGCAGGGGTCAGACTTGAGGTTTCCATGATAAAAGCCCAGGCCTTGGACACCACTGCTGGCATCCCCAAGCAGAACCAGAGAGATTACTCTTCTTACACGAAGTAATTAGTTAACAATTATTTAACCTTGTGACCAAATCTGCTATGAAAACCAGTTCATTTAAGGAAGAAAACATCAAATACACTACAATTAGAGCAAGGATACTACAGCCAGGTCAAATTGGAACCAAATCTTTGTGTCTCAAAGAGGAAATTTATGAGGAAGATTTTTGACTCCTTATCAGCTACTTCCATCTGATAACAAACACCTTATGGCTTTATTTTAGATTATTTACTGAGTCTTGTTTACGAACAGGTTGTAGGCATTTCTTTTAACAGAGGACACAACATTAGATGCCTATCTGAATTTAAAAGATTTATTTTCCCTTAGATGAAGATATTCCTTGATACAACTTTAAGATCTTTAATGTCCTCCAGAAGGTGGTGTTAAGGAGCTCAACAATTGTTGCAACGAGACACACATATACCTAAAAGGAACTTTATTAAGTAAAGAAAACAATCAAAACCAAAAGTTTTGAAAAGACATCTCCTTGATGCTTTAAAAGACAGGTTCTGAGTTAAAAAGGCAAAAGCGGAAAGTGGTCCTGATTGTAGCACAAAAGTGGCTGTTAAAGGTTCCATAGTCAGCCAACTGTGAAAGGTAAATAAAATAGCAAGGCTCTTCATTTCTTGTCATTCAGCATTTACTGAGCACTTGCAGAATTAATCTAAGTTCTGATTAACTGAGTGAATTAAGTTCATTCAGAAAAGTCACACAGTGATTATTGTATTTAAGGTGACTTTTAGCTTCTAAATGTAATTTAATATGGTTGTTGCCCTCAAA